TTTTTTGAGACAGGATCTCATTCTGTTGCCCAGGCTGGAGTGCAGTTGCATGATCTTGACTCACTGCAACCTCTGCCTCTTGAGCTCAAGCAATATTCACACCTCAGCCTCCTGAGTAGCTGGGACTATGGGTGCATACCACCATGCCTGGCTAATTTTTGTAGTTTTTGTAAAGATGGAGTTTTTACCATCTTTGCCATGTTGCCCAGGCTGGTCTTGAACTCCTGGGCTCAAGCAATTTTCACCGTCTTGGCCTCTCAAAGTTCTGGGATTATAGGCGTGAGCCATCAGGCCTGGTACCTTTTTCTTTTAGGCCAAATATAAGTACATTTCTTACAATTGTTTTTGTGGTAGAAAGAAAATCGCCTCTTTTTTCTTTCTTCCTGTTCATCTCTGAGCCCATTCCAAGCTGGCCTCTGTACTCATCACTCCCTTGAAGCAGCTTTTCCCCACTTATCTGTGGGGCAAATGTTCCAAGCCCCTAGTGGATGTCTGAAAACACGAATAGTACCAAACCCTATAGATACTATATTTTTCCTATATCTACATCCCTATGATAAAGTTTATAAATTAGGCACATTAAGAGATTAACAACAATATCTAATAATAGAACAATTATAATGATATACCATTCACAATTTCACAGAGAGATTTGTTCTTACTGTAGATCTTAGCAACCTTGGCATACAGTTTTTTTCTTTCCTTATTGAGAACTTTCGCTTTTCACTTAAAGGACTCACTTTACAGCTTCTCTTTGGCATTTCTAAATTGCCAGCACCACTACTTTTGTGCAATGAGGTCATTATTAAGTAAAATAAGGGTGACTTGAATGAAAGTACTGCAATGCAGTGATAGTAAAACTGATAATGGATAGGGCCGATAAGTGTCTCATGAACAGGAGGTGTGTACAGCTATGCTGGACAAATGGAGAATTCATGTCTCAGCTGGGCTGGAGTGGGACAGCATCAGATTTCATCATACTACTTGGAACTGTGCTCAATTTAAAACTTATGAATAGCCCCGGCACAATGGCTCATGCCTGTAATCCCAGCACTCTTGGAGGCTGAGGCAGGCAGATCACTTGAGCCCAGGAGTTTGAGACCGGCCTGAGCAACATGGCAAAACCTTGACTTTACAAAAAATACAAAAATTAGTCAGGGCTGGTGGTAATGTGCACCTGTAGTCCCAGTTACTTGGGAGGCTGGCTGAGGTGGGAGGATCACCTGAGCCCAGGAGGCAGAGGTTGAG